GCTCCCACTGCCGCTGCCTGCGCTGGTGTCACTGCTTGCCACTGCTGCTCTCCTCCTGCTGCCACTGCTGCCGCTGTCAATGCTGCTCCTGTTGCTGCTGCTCCTCCCACCCCAGACTAACGCCCTGCACAGTGCCAGAGAGTCGCAATCGCACAAGGAAGATCAGCCAGTAAGTCGACAGAGCAGATTGACAGAGTGAAGAATATCGAATGCAAGGAGGAAAAAGGACAGCGGAAAAGCGACGAAGAACACGAAAGCAATTGAAACTACTAAGGCAGAAGAAAACTCGACTGAGGAGAGAGAAGGGAGAGGGGGGAATAGAAGGACACGGGGGTGTTCTGTCATGGCGCCAATTACTTACTAGCTTATCCAGTCGCTGCTGCTCCAGCTGCCCACAACGCAGCAGGTGCTATCCAGTCGCTCCTGCCCCATCTTCCTAACTACTAAGACTTTCACTCCTCCATAAACCAGCAGCAGCGCCAGGAAAGCGTAGAGGAGATGGGAGGTTGCCCCTTGTTCAAGAAGACGCTGCCGCTGCCATTAGCAGCATAGCAACGCTGCCGCTGCCACTGGCGCTCCTGCCTTTGCCATTGCTGCTGCGACTGAAGCTGTTGCATTTGCCGCTGCTTCTGCCACTGCCTTTCTCCTCCTGCTGTCGCTGCTACCGCTGCCCATGTTGCTCCATCTGCCCAGCCGCAACGTTCCCTGCACAGCGAACAGAGAGTTGCAATCCCACAGAGATGGTTAGTTGCAGCGTAGAGGTTACAAGTTGGCAGAGAGATTTAACAGAGAGGGAACAACAACGAATGCAGAGAAAGCAAGTTGCAATCCCACAAAGAAGGCCACACAGTCGACAGCAAACAAACGTCACGGCTCCTGTTGCTTACTTGTTGTCCAGTCGCTGCAGCTGCAGGTGCTGCTCCTGTCGCTGTTGCTCCATCTTCCCACCCATGTGTTTACGTTCCCTGCACAGCGACCAGAGAGTTGCAATCCCACAAGTAGAGTTTATGAGTAGAGCATGACTTGACAGAGAGAAGAATAAAGAATGCAAGGAGAAAAAACGAGAGTGGAAAAACGACAACGAACACGCAAGCCATAAAGACAAAGAAAGGAGCAGTTGAGGTTGAGGTTACTTACTTGTTTCTCCAGTTGAGGTTTCTCCAGTTGCTCCTGCACCAGTTGCCTCCAACGCAGCAGCACTACCCCACCTCGCCATCCGCGGCCTCAGCTGCCCCAGCCACCCCTTGTCACCCCTGCACAAGGCACAGAGAGTTGCAACCCCTACTATAGAGAAGGTCAGCTGGGTAGAGCGTACAGGCACAGCTGCGAAATGATCAAGAGAAACAACATGCTAAGCAAAACGGCCAAGACAACAGGAAATGGCAACCTTAAAAAACGAGGTGATGCGAATCAGGAGGATGAGGGCATCAGGGTATGAGGCCATGGACTGGCATAGATTAACGCCCTGCACAGTGAGCAGAGAGCCGCAATCGCACAGGGAAGGTATATCAGTAAGTCAATAGAGCAGATGGACAGAGTGAAGAATATCGGATGGAAGGAGGAAAAACGGCAGCGGAAAAACGACAAAGAAAACGTAAAAGCACTGAAGTGAGTGGAAAACGCGAATGAGGAGGAAGATGGGAGGGCGAGGAGAAGAAAGGAAGAGCACCAGTTACTTACAAGATTCTCAAGTCGTTGCTTCTTCAACTGCTGCTTTTTCACTCGCTGCTTCCCCAACACAGCAGCACCGCTCCAACACAGCAGCACCGCCTCCAACACAGCAGCAGCACCGTTCCGCCTCCAACACAGCAGCAGCACCGTTCCGCCTCCAACACAGCAGCAGCACCGTTCCGCCTCCAACACAGCAGCAACGCCAGTGAACGTGATGGTTCCATGGACGCAGCAGCACCGCGCCAGCACCAACGCCTGTCAGCCATCTCCTCTCGCCCGCACCAACGCAGCAGTGAGCATCATCTCTCGCTCGCTCTTCTCCCGCGGCTTGCGGACGCGGCAGCATCGCTCCAGCTCTTGGCGAGAGATAGGCTCCAGCGCAGACCAGGAAAGTAGCTGCCGCTCCTGCACGCACGGAGACAGTTCAAATCGCAACTAGTCAGTGAGATACGCACGCCATGATAGAAAACGGAAGCGAGATATACGCCATACTGAACGCAAACGAAACGAGAACGCCACGAGAGCAGAAGAATAGCGACTGAGGAGCTTAACATCCGTCATGGACAGATCGCGCTCTGCGTGAGAAGAAGCGTTTGGAGTTTGGACGAGAACTCACCGGCGTGCTCCTCTGTAGTTGCGGCGTGGACGTCGACGCGTTCGCGTCGCACTAAAACGAATCGCATCGTCGTCTTCGTAGGACTTCACGACGTCGCGAGCGTCGCACGGTCGTCGCGGGCTACTCCGCTTTCGCGAGCCTCGACGTAACGACGAAGTTCCTCCTACTCCGTCGTCCATCTACCCAAGCTCCTCCTACTCCTCCGCCGTCCATCGCGAGCGTCGACGGACTCGCGAGCTCTTCCGGATCGAAAAAGAATTAGTGGAAGCAACGGAGAAGCTTCTCCATCAACCATTTCGCGTCCGCGTCGACTTCACGAGGAGCGTCGAAATCTTTCCCGCCGTCGAAATCTCTCCCGCCGTCGAAATCCCTTCCGTCATTCACGCATTCGCGAACCTTACACGGATCTGCTCCTCCGTAAAGGCTTTATTCGTCACCGCCGTTCGTCGCTTCCTCCGTCGCGAACTGTCGCGAGCACTTTTCGTCATCGTCAGCGTCGTCAGTCGCGCGATCCTCCATCAGACGTCTTCGTCAGCCGTCTCAATCTCTAGTACCGTCGTCGTCAGCCGTCTCAATCTCTCGTACCGTCGTCGTCAGCGTCGGACGTCCCGCGGCTTCGCTAACGTCGCAAGCACCGTCGGGAGTAGTAGTAGTAGCAACTGATGTTCGTAGTAGCGTCGACGGCTTCAGGAGCTCCTCGTCGCGAATACTATTCTCCTCCGCACAAGCAGCGTAGAGCAAGTCGCACAAGGATGGCACGGATTCGTGACCTTCAGGAATATTGTCGCAAAATATCTGACGTCGCTTCACGTTGCTAAGCTTGTCGCGGCAAGTGGTTAAGAGCTCCACGCTGAGAATCGCGAGCATGAGAAACTCGTAGGACTTAATCTCGCTACTCGCGAACTCCATTAAAATAATCTGCTCTACAAAGGAGTTTAGGTAAGGCTTCACGTCGCATCCAGCATGGTAAATCTTATACTAGCACTAATGATATCGATTCTTCTTACTATGCTCTAAGATCCAGCGAGGCTCTAAGATTCGGCTACCATCCTCCTACTAGCGCGGATGATTTCCTTGATAGGCACGAAGATTCTGCTACAATCCTCCTAAGAAATCTTAAGCTTAACGCTATTCGGGAAGAGAATATGTCACGGATGCTACCTCCACGGTACAGCAAGCCTCGGAAGCCATGGATTTGCGGATCATTGGAGTTAGCTAACACAATGAGTTTGCTCTCTGAGACAAGCCTGGAGATTGCCCCAGAGGGATGCAGTGGAGGTAGACCAAGTGACGAGAATTGGGACAGAACGGAAAAGGAAGTTTCGGTACGGTAACAAGGTTTTCAGATGGGTGAAAAAGGTTACAGAGAGGTTAGACGGATTCAGGAAGGTGAGATGAGGTGAGGCAAGGTGAGGTGGGGTGATGGTAGGAGAGAGGCGAAAGGGATAAGGCTGAACGGCAATGAGCGGCAACTCGAGTCGCCTCGCGAAGTGCCCTCCCGTCCACCAAACCGAGTGGTGGGGGAAGTGTTCCCCCGTTTCGGCAAGCCCGAGGCGCAAGCCGCTGCAGAGTTCGCTGGCGCGTTGCGCTGACTGCTGAAATCCGCGGGTAGCTTGCCGGGGATCTGCACTGAAGGCGGGGAAAGGCGAAAATATGATGAGTGAGCGAGATATGTTACTCTGTTGATGCTGATGATCTGACGGCTGAGAACTGCTATCTGGGTTCGGGTGGGTATGGTGTGGATGGTACCACCAATCAGATGTATGTCATAGTCCAATCATGAGGCGATTTTGAATTGGAGGTGTCAGACGACGAATTGAGTTGCTTGTCATGATTTAGGCGGGATGGAGCTTTCATACGCGTTTTGATTTTACTTCAGGGAAAATATTGTCGGTTACAATGGTAAACGTAAGTTATTGTTATCATTTTGTCACACATCTGTCATTAAACCTGACCATTTGTCAAACGTTTGAGATGGTTCAACTCGTGTAAAAACATGCACTAACTTGAGGGTAGCTAGTATGGGGCCTTTTCTTTTCTCAATTATCGGTATTTTGCTGTAATACTAATGCTCTGAACGTCTTGGCCCCCGAAAGCTAGAGAGCAAATTATCCAACAGCATACCGGTCCGTAACTCCCAACATGGGAGAGTTTGCCCATGTTTGTCACTTTTGCTACACATCACTAGATGCTACTACGGTAACATCATTTCGTCCAAAGGCTCTCCAATGCCCTTTTGTCTACCATTGCTCTCAACAGCCTGGCCCCGAGCTAATGCAATGAGAGCCAAAGAGAGCCCAGGAGAGCAAAGGAGAGCGAATCCCCCAGCAGCAAAACTCCCAACATGGACTCCAATCTGTAGGTCGTACCCAGTCTGCAGGGCTGTTTCCATAAATAAGATGATACCCCCTCAAAAGCAGGGTTGCGTCAATGCACAGCCTTGTGGTCTACAGCTTGCAGAGACGGCAAGTAGTCATTTGCCGAGTACGAGCCCTCCCCCTATTACCGGAGCCTGGGTCTAGCCCTCCCCCTTACTGGCCCCCTCCCCCTCTGCTCCTCCCCCTCCCACGCCTCCCCTGACTTAGTGATCCCAGAGTTTATCAAGGGACGTCTGTCATCAGGTCAAACCCTCCGAACCTGAACCCGCTCTGCCCCTCCACCTAATGACCCACCCTCCCTCTCCTGCTCCTGCTCCTCCCCTGGCTTTGGTTGATCAAGGGATGTCTGTCATAAGCCCAAACCCTCCAAACCCGAACCCGCCCTGCCCCTCATAGCCCCCCATGGAATCAGGAGACATATCCATGGGACCCCCTGGGGACCTCAGGTCTACGGCTTGAAGAGAAGGCGGGTAGTCGTCTGAATAGGGCGAGCCTGGATCTAGCCCTCCCGAGCCTGATCTTGGCGAACCTCCGCCAGACGATCCGTGCCCGAGCCTGTGCCCGGACCTGTATCCTGCGTCCGGGTATGCTGGCTCGTCGTGCCTGTAGAATGTTTCCTGCTGCACAGGGACCTGCCCGGGCTGCCCGACTGACTGCCCGTATGGGGTAAGATCCTGGGACTGCCGGTGCTGCTGCTGATGTGGCACGTTGAGTGGCTGAAGTTCCACGACCAGAGGTTGTTGCTGCGCTGGTGCGTGCTGAGGTGGCAGATGCTGAGCTGGCAGGTCGACAGGGTGTGGGGCAGGGAGGGCAGCGGCCTGGGTTGGCTGCGGTGCAGATGTGTTGCTGCCGGTGGTGGTGGCATTGGTGGTGGTGGCAATGCTGCTGCTTTTAACAGACTGAACCGTAGCAGTCGGGGTGAGGGAGAGGGAGAGCATCTGTGCAAACTGAAGAGGCTGGAGTGAGGGTTTGGCCACGACAGGGGCCTTGGAAGCTTGAGGCAGAGTGACGGTGGCAGCACGCGGCATCATAGAGGAGAAGAGAGAGCCAGTAGCTGCAAACAGGCCTCCACTCTGGTGGGATGACAGGGATGGCAACACAAGTGGCAGAGGCATGAGGCATGATGGTGGGACAGCAGAAGCAGAAGCAGAAGCAGAAGCAGAAGCAGAAGCAGAAGCAGAAGCAGAAGCAGAAGCACGGGGCACGATGGAGGCGAATCCGCTCACCAGAGGTGAATTCAATCAAAGCTCACCTGACCAGAGGTGAATTCAATCAAAGCTCACCTGAGGAGCAGCAGCGCGGGGAGGGGAGGGCGGCTCTGCAGACAGCAGTTGCTCGATGCGCGAGTCGACTGTCCTGAGCTGCTGCATCACGTGTGCTAGCTCTGCTTCCTTGGCCTCCACTGCTGCTCTCTGTGCCTCCACTCGCTGGTGGGGGGGAAGTGGGGGAGTGGAGAGCGGTGGGGATGTGGGGAGTGGTGTTGCGGGGGTGAGTGCCAAGGGCCCTAAGCTGCTGCATCACGTGTGCTAGCTCTGCTTCCTTGGCTTCCACTGCTGCTCTCTGTGCCTCCACTCGCTGGTTCAGGTGTGGTTAGGTGCGGGGAGAGGGATGGAGAACATTGAGTGTCTATGGTCCTGAGCTGCTGCATCACGTGCGCTAGCTCTGCTTCTCTGGCCTCCACTGCTGCCCTTTGCGCCTCCACACGCTGGTGCGGGTTATGGAGTAAGGGAGATGGGGCACAGGATGACGGGGGGGATAAGGGGGTCATGGAGGGTGATGGGGGGTGATAAGCGGTGCCTCCACCCTACATTACCCACTACATCATATCCGTGCATGTACCCATCCTGCATCGCCACCATCGCCCTCCCCCTCCCAGCCACACACCCATGCACATGCACCCATCTGTAAGTCACCTTACCTTGGACCACAGCCCTCCTTCCACTCATCCTCCCATCCCACACCCATGGGAGATGCCATGCCATCCTGCATCGCCACCACCAGCATACCCCCTCCCCCTCTAGCCACACACACACACCCATGCACAGGCACCCATCCGTACTCATCCATATGTCCCCTCACCTTGTCGACAGCCCTCCTGCCGCCCAGCCTGCCATCCCGCACCATAGGGGACGCCATCCCATCCTGCATTGCCACCACCAGCGCATTTCCACGCCCCCCAGCCACACACACACACACACACACACACATGTACCCGTCTGCCTGTTACTCACCTTGTCCACGGCCCTTTTGCCGCCCGGCCTGCCATCCCGCACCATGGGAGACGCCATGCCATCCTGCATCGCCACCACCAGCGCCCCCTCCCGCTCTAGCCACACACACACACCCATGCACAGGCACCCATCTGTACCCATCCGTAACCATCTGCAAATCGCCTCACCTTGTCCACAGCCCTCCTGCCGCCCGGCCTGCCATCCCGCACCATAGGGGACGCCATCCCATCCTGCATCGCCACCACCAGCGCCCCCTCCCCCTCCTCGCCTCCCACCCCAACGCCCCTCTCCCTTCCGCCCCTCTCCCTCACCCCCATCCCCTCCTCATCCACCTCCGCAATCACCACAGCCACCAGCCCCACCTCCCCGTCCTCCCCCTCCCCTCCCTCCCCGCCCGCTCCCCCTCCCCGCAGCTCCTCCCGCTCTCTCTCTGCGTATCGCTCTGCCTCTCTCTCTGCCTCTCTCAGCATCTGCCGGACAGCAGCCGATTCCTTCATGCAAAGAGCCACAGTGCCTCTCAGTGCCTCTGCCTGGAGCATTAGAGCCTCTACCTCCTTCTCCCGCCGCTCCTCGCTCATTTCATTCACATCCTCGACCTCCTCCTCTGCCTCCCCTGCTGCCTCCTCTGCTGCCTTCTCTGCTGCGCCCTTTGCTGCCTGCTGCTCCTTCTCTGTCTGCTCCTGTGTTTTACACTCAGCCCTTGCAATCTCTGCTGTCTTATCAACTGCCTGTACTGCTGACGCGTCTGCCCCAGTCCCCTCGTCCTTAGCAGCGCTATCCCCCACAAAGATATGCAAAAACGGCTTCTTCACTTCCCCTGCTCTCGCTCCAGCTGCTCCTGCCGCCCCTGCTGTGCTGACCAGATCTTTTTCTCCTGCGCCCTCCTTACTGTCACCTTGTTTATTATCATCTAGCTTACTGTCAGCATCTGCAGCAGCCCCAGCAGCTTCAGCAGCAGCAGGAGGCTCGGGTTTCTTAGGAGCAGCCCCCCAGAGGCCCAGGCCTGAGAATTTCATGCCCTGGAGCGAACTCACGAGGTTGCCCGCTGCTGCTGCCGCTGCAGCTGCCCCTGCCGTCGCTGCTGCTGACACTGTTGTTACCCCCCCTGTCGAAGCTGCTCCTGCTGCTTCTGGCTCGCCCAACCCTCCCTGTTTCGACTCTGCTGCTGCTGCTGCTGCTGCTCCAGCTGCCACTACTGCTCCACCTGCTCCTACCTGGCTGTCTTTCACAGCAGCAGCAGCAGCAGCAGCAGCAGCAGGGGCAGCAGCAGTGGAGACAGCAGGCTGTTTGGGTGCAAAGACAGACACAGCAGCAGCCAGCAGCCCCACCTTCTTCTCTCCCTCACCAGCTGTAGCTTTAGCTGTAACAGCTGCAGTGCTAACTCCTGCTGCCTCTGCTACAGCCGCGCCAGCAGCGGCCCCACTCACACTCTCGCCTGCTACAGCCGCTGCCTTGGCTGCTTCGGCTGTAGCAGCAGCCGCCGCTGCAGCCGCTACAGCCGCCTGTAAACGTTCCTCTAGCAACCCCACTCGGTGCAGAGACAGCTGTAGCATCACGTGCACAAACGCCAACCAATGTCGCCCCGACTGCCCCCCTGCTGCCGCCCCTGCCGCCCCTGCTGCCGCCCCTGCCGCCCCTGCTGCTACATCCCCTGCTTCCCCCCGCCCCACGCCTACTCCCGCCACCAAACCACCTGGCGAAACCCCTGGAGCACCTGGGAAAACACCTGGAGAAACACCTGGGACGCCAGGAGAAACAGAGGGCCACCAGGGCCCACGGTCATGCAGCCAGGGGCCCCACCTGGCGGGCCCTGACGCTGCCTGCGCCTCGCGCTCTGCTATGAGCGACGCTGACAGCTGCTCCCACCGCTGCTGCACTGCCGAGCGCGGGGACAGCAGAGAGACGCTCAGCCGCCGCGAGGCAGAGCGACTGATTCGCCCCGCCTTGGCAGACGCGTGTGCGGCCGGTGCCAGTGCCCCTGCTGGTGTCGCCCCTGCAGGTGCTGCTCCTGCCCCTCCCGCTGCCCCTCCCGCTCCTGCCCCCCCTGCCTCACTGCTCACACCAGGAGGAGTCACACTCCCTGCTTCGCCCGACCCGCCCGATCCGCCCGCTCCCACGCCAGCGTCAGTGCGCAGGGACTCAGACACGGCGCGGCTGTAGGAGAGGCCCTTCTTGAGCGCGAGCAGCTTGATGCCCATGCTCACGCCCTCGTCCGGCCTAGCCAGCCCCTTGAGCAGCTCCGACGCACCGTGCACGTACGACAGCATGTCTGACGACGTGCGCTCCAGCCCCAACCCGCCCGACCCCTTGCTCTCGCTCCTACCCTCGCCCCTGCCCTCGACCCTGCCCTCGGCCCTGCCCCCGGCCCTGCCCTCGCCCTGCTGCTGCTGTTGTGGTTGCGAGAATCTGCCTGATTTTTCAGCACCAGTGGCGGCAGCGGAGGCATCTCGGGGGCTGTCACCAGCGGCAGGGAGCTTGGGCCGCGGAGGCAGCAGGGGCGCGTCCCCTGCCCTCCGCCTCGCCCAGCTGTCCTGCCTCTCCGCCGCAACAGGCCCCTCGTATTCCCCCCCTGCACCACCACCACTAGCACCAGCTGAGAACGCAGCAGAAATGCCACCGCTGGCAGCGGCGGCGGCAGCGGCGGCAGCAGCGTCACTGCCGAGGGCGCCGAGGGCCTCGAGCTGCCTGTGCGCCTCTGCCAGAGCGCGCAGGGCGTCCTGCCTGCCCCGCCACTCCTCCTCCGCCACCAGCGCCACCTCCGTTGACAGCTCCTGCTCGTGCTGCAACTCCAAATACAGGTGGTCCAGTTCCTGCTCTAGGCTTGACTGGACTTCTGCTGCATCCTCTAATTGCCTGCAGAATGGGGGTGGGAAGGGACGAAAGTGGTGAGCAAGTGCAAGAGAGGATAGCCCCGCCACTCCTCCTCCGCCACCAGCGCCACCTCCGTGGACAGCTCCTGCTCGTGCTGTAACTCTAGATACAGATAGTCTAATTCTTGCTCTAGGCTTGATTGCACCTCCACTGCATCCTCCAGTTGCCTGGAGAATGGGGTATGGGGAAAGGGGGGAGCAGGTTGAGGGGGAGCAAGCACCACAGCAGTCCAGCACAACACTCAGTGCACACAGCGCATCTCACCTCAACGCCTGGGCGCACTGCTTCCTCAGACCTTCCAGCTCTGTTTCCCCTGCCTCTAACATTCAGCAGTCAACCACAGCACTCAGTACGCACAGAACACAGCACACAGCACACAACACTCAGTACGCACAGCACACAGCAGCACAGAGCAACGCATCTCACCTCAACGCCTGGGCACACTGCTTCCTCAGATCCTCCAGCTCTGACTCCCCTTCCTCTCCTTTTACCGCTCCCCCCTCCGCCCCCACCTCCTCCCCCTTCTTCCCCTCACCCTCCTTCCCTTCACCTTCTTTCCCCTCGTCCACACTCCCCTCCACCCTCCCACCCGCACTCGCCCCCACAACCGCCGCCTGCACCACCCTCTCTCCAAGCTCCCTCACCCTCTCCTCCGCCGCCTTCCCTCTCTGCACCTCCTCCTCCAGCTCCCTCACCCTCCTCTCCGCCTCCTCCCGTCTCCCCCTCTCCTCCTCGCACCTCGCACCTGCCTCTCTCTCCCTATGCTCCGCTGTCTTGCGCCCCATCACGTACTCCACCATTCGCTCGCGCATGCCCGCCAGTTCCGCGCCCATCTCCTCCGCCACCCGCCTAGCCGCCCCCTCCGCCTCTTCCGCCCGCACCCTCTGCCGCTCCAGCTTCCCCTCCAGCTCCCTGCTCTCCCGCTCTGCTTCTTCTACCCGTTCCCGCAGCTGTCCCAGCTGCCCTTGCTCGGTCTTCAGCTGTGCTAGCTCGGATTTGACCTCTTCTAACTCTCTCTCTGCTGCCTCCGCGCGTGCCCTCTGCTGCTCCAGCTTTGCAGTAACCTCCCGCACCTCCCCCTCCGCCTCCCCGCCCCTCTCCCTCTGTTGCCCCAGCTTCGAATCGAGTTCCCCCATTGCTCGCTCTGCCTCCTCCGCCTTTGCCCGCTGCTTCCCCAGCTGAATCGCCAGCTCCCCCGCTTTCCCCCTCTCCGCCCCCAGCTGTGTTTCCGCCTCCGCCACTTGCGCTTTCAGCGCCCTCGTTTCCGCCTCCGCCTCCCCCGCCCTCTCCCGCTGCACCCCCACCTGCGCGCCCAGCTCCACCACCTGCGCCTCGAGCTCTTTCACCTGCGCCTCGAGCGTCCGCTGCCGCCCCTCCGCCTCCTCCACCTGCGCCCTCTGCTGCACCACCTGCGCCTCGAGCTCAATCACCTGCGCCTCGAGAGCTCTCCTTGCTGCCTCTGCCTTATCGCGCTGCTGCTCCGCTTCCTGCCTGCGCTGCTCGCCCTCCTCCCACCGCTCCAGCAGATTCGCCTTCTGTGCTTCAGCAGCCTCTATCCTATCTCTTAGGTCCTCTAATTCATTCTCCAACTCCACAATCCTGCCGGCCCCTGCCTTCGCTTCTTCCTCACTCTTCTCACCCTTCTCGCCCTTCTCACCCTCACTCTTCTCACTCTTCTCGCTCTGCTCGCTCTTTTCCCCCTCTTCTCCGCTTCCCCCAGCCCCCCCTTCTCCGCGCGCACTGCTCTCCGCCTTCTTCCGCCACTCCTCCGCCTCCCCCTCCGCCTCCTCCCGCCGCCCCTTCTCCTCCAGCACCTTCCGCACAGCAGCCTGCGCCGTGCGCTCCGCCTCCTCCACCCGCGCGCGCATGCCCTCCACCTCATCCCGCGCCCTCTCCAGCTCATCCCTCCCCTTTTCCACGTCACCATTCGCCCTGTCCAGCTCATCCCTAACCGCGTCCAGCTCAGCATTCGCGCGTTCCAGGTCATCCTTCAAATCGTCAATCTGCCTCCTAAAATCATCCTCAGCTTGCGTAGCTAGATCCTCCATGCCCTTAGCATAAGCAGCCATACTTTCCCGCATAGACTCCCTCTCTAGTTTCATCTCTTCGTCTACCATCTGTAACTCCTGCTCTAGCTCCAAAGCCCGGTCCCTCTCCTCCTCCCAACGCCTCTCCGCCTCTTCCAACCGCACCTCCAGCTCCGCCACCTCTCCCCCCGCTCCGCCCCGCTTCTCCTTCCCCTCCGCGCCCCCCGCGCCCCCCGCGCCCCCCTCCGCGCGCTCCAGCTTCCGCCGCGCCTCTTTGAGCGCTTTTTCCGCGGCTTCGCGCCTTCCTGTTTCCGCCTGCATCTGCTCCTCTAGCTCCGCCATTACCGCCTCTACGTATTGGCGCTTCCGCGCCTCCTCGCGCGCCCTGTCGTCCGCGTCCTTAGCCTTCTCCCCCGCGTCCCTCAGCTGCTCCCGCAGCTGCTCCACCTCCGCGCGCATCTCCTCTAGCGCTTCCTTCTGAGGCGGAGGGGGAGGGGAGAGGCGCGGGCGGAGGGGACAGGGGGGAAAGGGGCGAAAGGGGCGGAAGGGACAGGGCGGAAGGGAAGGGGCGCGCACAGACGGGACGAAAGGGGAGACGCCAGTCGAAGAAAAGGAAGATGCGTGAGCAGTGGGGCGAGCGAAGATAGGGCAAACGGGAGCGAGGCGGAGAGAAAGCGAAATCAAGGAAGGAGGGCAGGGGAGCGAGGAGGGGGGGGACGTGGGGTGGGGGGGCGAGGGGTGACGAAGAGCAACGAGGGGCGACAGGCAGCAAAATCAAACAGGAAGGCAACACAATCGGGTAGGAGGGAAGGAGGTGACGAGGAACGAGAGGGGTGTGAGGCAAGCGAAAGGGGGTTCGAAGCCTAGAATCTGATCACGAGAAGAAAATGCTGGAAAAAGTGGAAGATCTAGGAAGAGGAGGGGAGGGGGAGAGGAAGGGTTGCGAGTGGGGTGAGATGGGGTGGGGTGGGGTGGGGTGGGGTGGGGTGGGGTGGGGTGGGGTGGGGTGGGGTGGGGGTTTGAGACATATCGAACATGCTTCAGAGCAGATTGATTGTACACGAGGGCGAAAAGGGCAGGCAGAGGGGGCGAAAGGCGAGGGGGTGTGGGCGAGGGGGTGTGGGTGAGGGGGTGTGGGTGAGGGGGTGTGGGTGAGGGGGTGTGGGTGAGGGGGTGTGGGTGAGGGGGTGTGGGCGAGGGGGTGTGGGTGAGGGAGTGTGGGCGAGGGGGTGTGGGTGAGGGGGTGTGGGTGAGGGGGTGTGGGTGAGGGGGTGTGGGTGAGGGGGTGTGGAGGCGGAAGGCCAGAGGGTAGAGGAGGGTTCTCACCCGCGCAGAGCGCTTGGCTTCTTTCTTCTTCCTGTGGGCGTCCTCGTCCTGCAAACGAGGCACAGCATAGCGGGGATGTGATGGGGCGGGTGCGGCTGGAGCTTTAGGGAGAGCATGGCAGCACGGCAGTCAAGAGCAGGCAGTCAAACGCAGTCAACGGCAGTCAAGAGCAGGCAGTCAAACGCAGTCAACGGCAGTCAAGCGCAACCACGGCCAGAGAGGCCATAAAAAGGAGAGAGAAACGCGGCTCACATCATGCACCCCCTCCATCCCCTCCGCGTCACACGGCAATCAAGAGCAGGCATTCAAGCACAGTCAAGCAGAGTCAACGGCAGTCAAGAGAAGTCAACAGCAGACAAGTGGCTCACATCATGCGCCCCCTCCATCCCCTCCGCGTGCTCCCCCAGTCCGCCGCCCCTCACCCGCCCCGCGCGCCCCTCCTCCCCTCCTTCCCCCTGCGCGGCTGCGCGCCTGCCTCTCCCCTTAGACGAATCAGTGGACGCGCCAGACACCGTCCGCAGCAGCTCCCCGTCCCCCCCACGGTCCGCGCCTCCCCCTGCTGCAGGCGCAGTGGCGGAAGTCGCGGAGGGCTTTTTCCCCCCCGGGACCCTGTGCCGCGCCCTGCCCTCCTCCTCCTCCTTCCGCCGCCCCCCAGCGCCAGCGCCCCCGCGGCTGAAGGCGCTGGGGGTAGAGGCTGCGGAGGTGGGCGTGGTGCTGGTGCTGCTGCCTCGACTGCTGCTGGCGGGGAACCTGGCGGCCGCCGCCGCTGCTTCCTCCGCCTCCGCGTCCTTGGCGGACTTGGCTGGCGCGGGGGCGCCGGGCTGAACGCGCAGGTTTGGGGCCAGGGGAAGGGGAGGGGAGGGAGAAATGGGGGGAAAGATGGGAGGCGGGGGGGAAGGGGGAGAGGGAGGGCCGGGGGGGGGGGGGGGGGGGAGAGATGGGAAGAAACGAGGAGATGGAAGGCGGGGAAGGAGGGGAATAGAGTGAGACGCTGACGGAAGAGTCCTAGAAGCATCCTCGAAGTATGTAAAAGAATCCTAGGCATCGTCGAATAGTTCAGCAGGAAAAAACAGTTTCGAGGGCATAAAATGCAGTGAGGTAAAATAGCCACGATATATTTTGTGGGAGTGCGAGACTCGACTTGACCGGCCGGCAGCGAGTGTGCGACTTGTCGTGAATGGCCGGCAGCGAGTGTGCGACTTGACGTGAATGGCCGGCAGCGAGTGTGTGGATTGCCTTGACAGGCCGGCAGCGAGTGTGCGACTGCGCAACCTGCCTTAATTCGCAGGGAGCGAGTGTGCGACTTGCCTTGAATCGCGCGAGCAGGCCGGAAGCAACAGCTCGGAGCGGCGACGCGGTCGGGTTGCCGTCGGCGTCCTGTGTACACACCGGCCGAGAGGTCAAGTAGAAAGAAACAGGGATCCGTAAGGAAGGGCAGCAACTTGTGAAATCTCTTCTTTTTTTTCTCTCTCTCAAAAAAACGGCGAGGCGATCGGGTTGCCCTCGGCGTCCAGTGCACACCAGCCAAAGTATCAGGCACGGAGAAATAGGGATCACGGAGAGAAGAACTGGGACCAGTGGAAGGATCGAATGCAGGTAGACTTGCCAGTGCCGTCCTAGACATTCACATCAAGGGATAACAAATGTCGCGATACGCCGCCTAGAAACATTACTCCTAAACAGACAGCGGACCTAGACATTACTCCTCGATGCGGAGCGAATAATCATGGAAGAGAGCCATTTCGAGTCGCCTCAAAAGTTACCGTTGCCGTCCGCGACACACGGGAAAGGTGATTTAGGAGCAAATCAGTAAGGGGACCGAAATGCAGCAGAAGAGGCTGGCATGTCGAGAAGGTAAGAGCATTGCGAAAGCGCTTAGGATGCCAGGCTCAGAGTGAGTTGCGCTTGCATATTTTAGCGAAAGGGAGAAATAGAAGAGCTTAACGTGCTACAGACGAGGGAGCAGGGAGGAAGAAATGAAGTAAGGGAGCAAAGACAACGGGAAACGTCAAGAGGGTGAGAAAAGAGGGCTGGCCGGCACTAATCGAAGACGCTCAGAAAGGAGGAATACTTTATTTGTAATCCTTCAATGTCGAAAGGGTGGGGAGGGAGGGATGACCGGCACCATTAAGGACGCTCGATGGAGCTTTGAGAACTCGAGGTTGTCAGTCCACGCCGCGACGATTGTGGCTTCGCGTGGCTCTGGCTAGAAAAGTAAGTTCGTTTCTAGAAAATCGGAAAAAGTAAAACCATTTCTAGAAAAAGGAATTAATAAAAAGACGCCCTGAGGATGACCAATTCATAAATTAATTATCGTCTCCTATCACTAACGTCCACACATGCTTCCCCAACGACCTAAATTGTGAGGCTTATTACAGCCGTCAACCTCGCACCTTCCATCAGCTACTGGCCTTGCTGGCTGAAATGGGTGCCATGGCATTGCTTGCATTCTTGAAGCAAATTTCAAAACTGGCTCCTCGAGATCTTCGTTCCGCCGCTGCGGAGAAAATGGGAGAAAAAGGGGAGGCGGGGCTTGACGGGTGAAAATGGGGCCGGCGGGGGGTGGGGAGAAAGAGGGGGAAGAGGGGAGGTTGGGGGAGGGTGATGGGGAATCGCCAGCTGGACGGGGAAGGTCGGATTGACTCAGGAATTCGCGGGATGATGGGTTGATGTGGGGAGGGTGCGTGATTTTACCAGATGGAAGTTGGGTTTCGCTTTGGTCTTCGAGGGTTCTGGTCGGTGCAATTGCCAAACCAGCTCGGTATTACTATAGCGAGGGGAACCGGTTCCAGCATGCCATTTTCGCTTGCTGGAACAGAATTGACGGTGCAGGTACTGTACAGCTGTGAAGCACCCAGCACGTAAAGCGGCCCAGAAAAATTACCTCTCATGCAGAACAAAAACTACGCCACTATATAATTCAAACCGGAAAGAGTGTAGTAAATCGCTCTTTGCATACCCGCTATTGTATCGCAGAAGAGGACGAATCCAAAATCTCAGGAAGGACCAATGTCCTTCGGCTTCACATTTCGTCGGGACTTGTGAAATCTCGAGTCCTCCTCGCACCGAGCTCGTCCTTTCTTCCTCTCAAGTCGTCCACCTGAACTGCTCGAATCCGTACATAGGTGTTTCACCTGGACGTTACCTTGCAGTACTGGTACAGTCATTCCAGTTCGTTCCATGGCGCAAAACACACAGGCCCGCAGCGCGTGAAGGCAACGGCTGCAATTCTCGTTCTCGCCGCAGCAGCTGAGTCCTGAAGTTCTCAGTGAGGTCACACGGATTTATCCGCTTCGCACGCTGCTCCAGTACGAGTGAGAGGTATAGCATCGTGGTGCGAACATGGGAGCGGTCGAGTCCGTTCTACTCGTCTCGGATTCCGACGAGGAGGGCGACGAGGGACAACAGGGTAACCAGCAACGACGACGAGAGCGACGGCGTCGCAAGGCGCAGGGGGAGGATGCAGGCTCCGCGGAAATAACGAATCCGGAACGTCAGGCGGAGCTGCACGGGCGGAAGAACCACGCGGAAGGAGCGGGTGACGGTCAGCGGCGCGGTCCGTTAGATTCTTCGCGAGAAGGGGGCGAGCTTGCGAGAAGTTACAGCGTTGACTCTGTTGACTCCGTTGACTCGCTTGACCGCGACGGATCTATCTGCTCGCCTCGCTCCGTTGACTCACTTGACCTTGCCTCCCCTCGTTCCGTTGACTCCGCTGAACCGCACGATTCTGCTAATCTCCCCGTCTCCGCGCATCCCGCGGCTAAGCGCAAGTCCAAGGCGCGCCACAGGCGGAAGGGCTCGCGCGGATCGTCGCGCCTCAGCCGGTCTGTTTGCGCCACTTCCGCCGACGGGCGCGTCGCTCCCGCCGACGCTGACGTGGCCGCCTCGACGAGCGCAAATGGACACGTCACCGCTGCAGCGCTGGCAGCCGCCCACGCCAGGTCAGCTGGAGAACTATCATTGGGAGAAGACGGGGCGCTGCGAGAAAGAAGGAGCATGGGGGGAGGAATGGGCATGGGGGGGCTTGGGGAATCAGGCGGAGGGATGGGCATGGGGGGGCTTGGGGAATTAGGCGGAGGGATGGGCATGGGGGGGCTTGGGGAATTAGGCGGAGGGATGGGCATGGGGGGGCTTGGGGAATTAGGCGGAGGGATGGGCATGGGGGGGCTTGGGGAATTAGGCGGAGGGATGGGCATGGGGGGGCTTGGGGAATTAGGCGGAGGGATGGGCATGGGGGGGCTTGGGGAATTAGGCGGAGGGATGGGCATGGGGGGGCTTGGGGAATTAGGCGGAGGGATGGGCATGGGGGGGCTTGGGGAATTAGGCGGAGGGATGGGCATGGGGGGGCTTGGGGAATTAGGCGGAGGGATGGGCATGGGGGGGCTTGGGGAATTAGGCGGAGGGATGGGCATGGGGGGGCTTGGGGAATTAGGCGGAGGGATGGGCATGGGGGGGCTTGGGGAATTAGGCGGAGGGATGGGCATGGGGGGGCTTGGGGAATTAGGCGGAGGGATGGGCATGGGGGGGCTTGGGGAATTAGGCGGAGGGATGGGGAGGGGAAGGGGGGGGGTAGCAAGTGCGGGAGCAGCAGTGCCTCCTGTGAAACTGCCTGGGCCTGGTGGGGGACGCATGGGTATAGGGGGGAAAATCGGGGGCTCCGGGGGGAATGAGACCGGGGGAGGCATTGGCGGAAGCATGGGGGCGCCTTGGGTTGTCCTGGGCAGCAGGGAAATCACCGAAGCTGCTTCCGTGGCTCCATTCCATACCTCCGGCGCTGCTATGGCGACTGCCGAGGCTGCTTCCGAGGCTGCTGCCGAAGCTGCAGCCTCGTTACAGCCAGGGTCCCCTGTGAGACTACAGAGAGTGCTGGCTGCTGTGTCCCGCGCATTAGACAGGGCCAGTGAGGAGGCAGCAGCAGGGAGGGAGGGTCCTTCAGGGGTAGAGGTGAATGGTGAGTCAACTCAAAACACACCTGATGTGTCGCGCGCACTAGATAAGGCCAGTGAGGAGGCAGCAGCAGGGAGGGAGGGCAGTGCGGAGGCTACTTCCGATGCTGCTGTGGGCATGCGAGAAGCGCACGCAGAGACGCCTGAGAGGGAAGAGGCGGCATTAGGGAACACGGATGAGGAGGGAGAGTGGGGTGCGGGAAGTGAAGTGCGGATGAGGGCGGTGCACGTGAGGGCGGTGCACGTGAGGGCGGTGCACGTGAGGGTGGTGCACGTGAGGGCGGTGCACGTGAGGGGGGTGCAAGTGAGGGGGTTGCGGGTCAGGGGGATGAGTTGTTTGGGGTTGAGAAATCTGATGGTGCTGCTGGCGAGGGCAGTGAGGGGCGCTGCGCTGCTGTTGTAATGGAAGAGAGCGGGTGGGAGTCTGACAATGAGTTTGGCACTCCTGAGCTGCTCTCCCCTGCTGCCAGCGTGAGCAGGGGCAGCGCGGACAGAGACAACGTGGGCAGCAGCAGCACTGATCTGCTCTCCCCTACTGCCAGCATGAGCAAGGGCAGCGTGAGCAGGGGCAGCGCGGACAGGGACAACGTGGGTAGTGGTAGCATGGGCAGTGGCAGCATAAGTGGTGGCAGCGTGGGTAGTGGAACTTTGAATCGCGAAGATATAGAGAGTGGCAGCAGTGGCAGTGGCAAAGACAGGACGCATGGATGTCCACCTGCTGCCGCATCTCTTAGTAGCGCCGTGACAAGTGCAGTAGATGATGCTCCCGTTGCAGCTCTTGCTACCGCTGCTGGTGCTGCTGCTGATTGTGATGTTGATGCTGCTGGTTTTGATGCTGATGCTGCTGGTGCTGCTTCTGCAACTGCTGCTGCTGCTGGTGTGTCTGGTTCTGCCCCGAATGCCACAGGGAACAATGCGGCTGCTGCAGCAGAGGCAGAGAGAGCAGCAGCCGGGCAGACTCAAGCAGCGCAGGTGGCACCGCCGGTAACACGCGAGGAAGAAGCAGACACAGCACCTGCTGACGCAGCAGCAGAGGCCGCAGCACGGGCAGAAGCTGAGGCAGCAGCCTCAGCAAAACCACCAGCAGCAGCAGCAGCAGCAGCAGCAGCAGCAGCAGAGGCAGAGGCGGCAGATTCCTCTCCTATTGCTGCCGCTCTGCTCCCCCTCTCCCCACCAACGTGCGCCTGGCTCTCGCCCATGCTGGCTGCTAACAGCAGTGGCATCAGCATCGAGTTCCACGTTATCAGGTGAGTCTTGAGTCGACTCAAAAATAGCTGACGTGCTGCCCCTCTCCCCACCAACGTGCGCCTGGCTCTCTCCCATGCTGGCTGTCAGCAGCAGTGGCATCAGCATCGAGTTCCACATCATCAGGTGATTCATCAGGTGATTCTTCAGGTGAATGTCATCACGTAATGCTTCAGATGTTTCAGGTGGATGTCACGAGGTGAATAATATCAAGTGTTTTCGTCAGGTGACTAATTCGTCAATCCCACCCCCCCCCTCCTTCCCCCATGCCAGGCATGGGGAGTCAACCCAGTCGCCTGCCCTCATAGCCGGCCGCTCCCCTGCTGCTCGACTCACCCCCACGGGGGAGCAGCAAGCCGTGGCTCTGGGCACCTTTTTGCAGGGTGTCAGCCATTCCTGTCCTTTACCCCTTTCTCACCTCCCTCTCGTCGCCCCTCCTCATCATCCCAGGCATGGGGAGTCAACCCAGTCGCCTGCCCTCATAGCCGGTCGCTCCCCAGCTGCCCATCTCACCCCCACGGGGGTGCAACAAGCTGTGTCACTGGGGACCTTCCTGCGCCGCTACTTGAGGCTTCAGTGGGATGAGGTTTTCTGCTCGCCCATCCCGCGCGCTACACACACTGCTCGGCTAGTCTGCCAGGTGAAAGTCCCCTCACACTCTCTCGCGCACTCACTCACTCACCTCCACGGGTTTGCCAGTAAGCTGTGGCTTTGGGAAATTTTCCCAAAGCTGCTCTCTTACTAGATTGAAACACCGATTGCTACCCAGCAAGTCGTGGCTCTGGGGAATTTTCTGCGCTGCTACCTGCGGCTTCAGTGGGATGAGGTGCACTTTAGCCCACCCTAGCGCTACACATATTGCCCACCTCGTCTGTCAGGAAAACACCCCCTCATTCTCTCCCAGACTCACTCTCTCGCACTCCCTCTTGCGGTCACTATGTCTCACTCACTCTCTCACACCCACACTCTCACACTAACGCGTTCACTCACTCGAACTCGCTCATCCACTCACACTAACCCCATTTACATGCACCATCTCTCATCACCCCAGGAGCTAGGCTTTCCAACCAGCCGCATACAGGAAGCGTCTGAGCTTCAGGAGATGAGTGCAGGCAACTGGGAGGGGAAGTCAGTGCCTCAGGAGCCACAACAACTGACCCTCTTCCCCCGTTCTCCCTCCCTCACTCCCCCAGGAGCTGGGCTTTCCACCCAGCCGCATACAGGAAGCGTCTGAGCTTCAGGAGATGAGTGCGGGCAACTGGGAGGGAAATCATTGCTTCTGGACCCACAACAACTGACCCTCTTCCCTTTCTCTCCCCCCTCGTTCCCCCAGGAGCTAGGCTTTCCAACCAGCCGCATACAGGAAGCGCCCGAGCTTCAGGAGATGAGTGCGGGCCACAGGGAGGGAAATTCAGTGCCTCAGGAGCTGCAACAACTAGCCCTCTTTCCCCTTTCTTTCTCCCTCATTCATCCAGGAGCTAGGCTTTCCAACCAGCCGCATACAGGAAGCCGCAGAGCTTCAGGAGATGAGCGCGGGCCACTGGGAGGGCAAGCCCCGGGCAGAATTCTTTTCTTCCGACGCTGCCCTGGCGTGGATGACCGCCTCCCAGCCCGACTTCTGCTACCCGGGTGGTGAATCGCAGCGCCAGGTCAGGTTTGATAATGACGGGTTTGTTTATGTAAACTGATTCGTGCAGATATTACTATGCTAGATAATTTTGAATCAGCTAATGATACGGTCGAAACTGGTGAGTGCAGTTACAGCAGTGTAGATTTCACTTGGGTCAATGGGGGCTGCTGGTGAGTGTGACTGGTAAGCGCGTGGAGAGCACCCATGATTAACCGTTATGCCACGCTGCCTCCTTCCTGGCATAATTCATTACCACTGGTATGCGCTCTCGGCAGCACATTCTCGGTGTGAGTTCTCATCATGTGTTCTCGTTGTGTGCTGTCGCTGCAGGTGGAGTATCGAATGGTGAGCTTCTTGAATCGCCTCGCCACCAACCACGCCACCCGACTCATGTCAACCAAATCTAGTGCTTCGGCTCAAGAGGAGGGCGGCAAGAGCACGGCCAAGTGCCACATCGGCATATTCTCGCACTGCGCGTCGATTAAATGCCTGTTACGGGGCTTGATGGGGTCGAGCCCTCACATGACCCACAAGATAGTAGTGGATCACACTTCAAGTACGGTGGCTTTCTCGCCGGCTACAGGTTGGAGGCTAGTGCGTGTGAATGATGTTTCCCACTTGCTTGTGGCACAGGGGCCTATAGCCCCTTAGTGGCAACACTTGAGTGGTTTGGCAATGCTGATCCCTAGTCCGATTATTTATGGTTGGACTGTACTATGACTCTGAATACAGGACTTACGAAATCCAGCTAGGAGATGAGGAAGACGTAAAGTCGATTGGTACGGCACGGCAAATGCTTTGGCGTGCAGGCCTAGAATTGCCGTAGAGATGTACATACACTTGGAATTGTGTGTGATTGTTTCGTCTCATAATACGATCTCTTCATCACCAAGTCGGCTTGGCGGAGCAAAGAAGGTGTTTGTATGGCTAGATGACTGGTTGGATCAAGTCTAATCAAGTTAGGACGTGTGTGAAACTAATTGCAGTTCTAAAATGGGTTCGAACTTAGGGTGGTAACCAATTTCGTGAATGTTCGCAAACGTTTTCGCCAAATGGGTGTTTCACTACCCCTCCCACCTAACTCGAGCCCCGAAAAGTGAACAAGACTCGAGTGTATGAGCAAACGTGATTTTGCACGTTGTAGTGAACGTGTGTGGTTCCAGGCACGTACGAGGAGTGTGCGACACTCGCAACACATTCGTGCACCAATAGAGGCACGACCGAAACCATAAACGGTCCCCCACAAGCAAAGCTCGCCACGTGGATGTTGGCGTGGCACGATGACGTGGTGGAATGAGAATTCCAAGGAAGCGCATCAGTGCAATGAGAGACATGGCGGAATGCTGAGTTGGCGAAATGCAAAACACTCACACCTTTGTTGCTGGTGGTCTGCTCGGGGACAGGTAGGGAGATGAGGTGGAACTCTAGAGTGAACTTTTGGGGCACGCGATTCGTTGACGTGTCGCGCTGTCAAGATGCCGATACTGGGTAACCTACGCACCCTACTCGCGGTTCGGTTCTCCCCCTACAGGCTCGAACTTGTAGATTCGCACCTGCGCGTGTGATTGTGTGTTTACAACTTTCGACAGCTGCGGTTCGAACTTTGCAATGACTCAAAATCGAGTAAGGTTCGCTTAGCGTTCAATTGCTACATTCGAATCAAAAACCTAAACTTGGTGCCAAAATTAGTTTCACACACGTCCTTAGTGAATCAGCTTGCAGGTGCTCCAATGTCAAGGTTGTAATATGTACATGCTTTCCAGGCGGTGCTAATACATTAGATTTAGACATCCAATCAACAGCCTAGAAGACAACGAAGCGCTAACAGCTTGACTGTAACTGAGAGGTGCCACACACGCCAGCCCAGGTAAGGGCTTGTGCGGCACCATAATCTGCTTTTCCAAACCACATCCTGAGGTTCGCGTCCGATGATGACAGCTCTAGTTCAACTTTCAACGGCCGGGATCTCGCTGCTTGTTGACTAGACGCGTTCCGCAGTCGGGTTTGCAGCTTTTGACTATCACCGACCTATATAAGGGGGCCGCAGCTTCCGGACCAAGCTCCCCGCTCACGCCTCAAGCCAATGCCTTACCGCGCATCCCCCTTCCTTCCCCTTGACTGTGTCCCTCCGTCCAATGGGAATTGACGAGAAAAGCAACGCGACGCCGTCATTGTACCAAAGGAAATGCCCAACCAAATCGCGGTTCGACGATGCCGGATGGATGTTGCGGTTCGGGATTGCTCGACCGAGCACAAACCAAACTTGAAATACCAGGGCATATCATTTCGCATGTGCCTGATGCACCCACGTCGCGGACTTCGCAAAAGGGTTACCGTCACGGATTCCGATGATTCGTTCAGCCTTTTGTTCGTTGCAATGTCGTTCCAAGCCCCCTGAACGCTGTGGATTCCGACCACGAATTGCCCCCCCAACAACATCCCATCCATCCCATGCCTCCTCGTCCCCACCTCCTCCTCCCTCCTCTCAATCCAAATTCACCACCTACAAAATCCCACGACTATGATTTCCAGACAACAAATTCCTGTTTTACATCTCTGCATCTCGCGTTTTCTCCCGTGCGAGACAAGAATCCTCTCTATCGTATGAGCTTTACTGATTGAGTTCGTCTTTCACGAACGTCACGATGGGCACGGGTACCGTGCTCGCCAGATTCGGCCTCAAGTGGCTCACAATCGCGGTGGCCGTGACCCTCGCGTCCGTCGCCGCGCTCCACGCTATCGACAACTTCTACGTCGTCCGTCACCCGCCCGTCTGCGCCTCTTCCGCGAACCCGGAACTCTGCATCTCGGAGTACCGCATCGCGCGCCGCTCCCTCGGCGCGGCGCCCGCGTCGACCCAGCAGGTGACGGCGGCGATGATCGAGTCGGCGCGCGCGAAGGTGGCGGCGGGACTGGAGCTGGTGAAGGAGATTCAGACAGCCAACGCGGGCCGGAGTGCTGAGGTCGACGCCGTTAGCGACGACTGTGTGACTCAGGTACGCCACAGTTGCCGGATTTGATGGTGAGGGCATCGCACCGCACCGCACTACCCGCAACTCGTTCACGTTCTAGGTTTTCCTGGATTCCAGCTGGATTCGTAAAATATAGCAAGACATTTACGCTATGATTCTATTTCTAATCAATCAACGTATGATCTTGCGGCGGCAGGTGAGCGCGGCGCTGGCGCAACTCGAGAAGTCTTCCTCCGCGATCAGCGCCGGCAGCAACGTGCTCGATCTGCCCTACTGGCTGCAGACGGCGCAGACTCAGCTCTCCAACTGCCTCTCGGCGTATCAAGAATTGGCGCCGTCCGCGCTCTCCACGCCCACGGGCGTCTACCTCGCGTCAGAGGGCGCGTTGACCAAGTCAACGCTCGTCGCCGCCATCGACCTCACGTCGCAAGCCGCCACCGCGGCGCGCTCAACGCGCGGCCGCCAGGCGCTGGAGAATGGCGGCGAGCGCGACGGGCACCCCGAGTGGCTGGAGGTGGGGCTGTACGAACAGCTGAAGGAGCTTCAGGCGCACATGCAGGGGGACCACGACGGCGCGCAGGAGTGGGCGGAGAAGCGCCGCGGGCTGCTCGGACTCCCCGCGCCTGCGGAGATCCGCCGACGGGAGTTGAGAATCAAGGGTCACCACGCCAATCTCTGGGATAACGGGCGGAAGAAGGGCGGGCATCCGGACAAGGGCGGGCACAAGCAGCTCTGGAAGGACGGGAAGAAGAAAGGGGGGAACCATCCGCCGGGGATCGGCGGGCACGCGCACCTGTGGAACGGCGGGAAGAAGGTCGGCGGAAACCACAAGAAGGGGGTGGGGCACCACCCGGGGAAGGGGAGGAACCGGAAGCCCGGAAGTGGCGGACGCAGCGGCGGCGGCGGCGGCGGCGGCGGCGGCAGCGGCGGCGTATCCGGCGGCACGTACACCCCGAGCCTGAAACCCGACGCGGTGGTGGGCAGCGGCGAGCAGTACTCGAGCGTGAAATCCGCCGTGGACGCCGCTCCCAAGAAGGGCCGCTTCGTGATCTACATCAAAGCAGGAACATACGACGAAGTGGTTCAGTTCGATAACGAGGGGATCATCTTCGTGGGAGACGGCCCGGATCGCACGATCATCACGGGCAGCAAGAGCATGGGCGGCGGGTCGGGGACGACGTTCAAATCGGCGACCGTTGGGGCGAACCGCGACCACTTCGTGGCGCTGGGCGTGAAGTTTGTCAACACGGCGGGGCGCGAGAACGAGCAGGCGGTGGCAATGCGCGCGAGCGGGGACGCGTCCGCCTTCTTCGAATGCGCGTTCGAAGGCTTCCAGGTCAGTGGTGAAACCATGTAACCACGTTTCTCGAATGCGAACAAAGGATTTATGCACAGCAAAGCATGAGCGATGAGTTGGGCTCTGTTTGGCGTGCAGGCATCTCGTATGCTCATCTCATGCTCTGCATTCTCCCCTCTTCCTACTCCCATCCACCAGGACACCCTGTATGTCGACGCGGGGCGGCAGTACTACAAGAACTGCTACGTGGGCGGAACGATCGATTTCATATTCGGCGACGCGGCCGTGGTTCTCGACAGCATTGACATCCGGCTGCACACGAGCCACTCATTCGTCACCATCACCGCGTCTGGCCGCGACACCAACGGCCCCACGGGGATCGTCATTCGCAACTCCAAGATTTCTGCGGATGCTGGAGTTACTGACGTGTATCTGGGCCGGCCGTGGAAGAGCTGTGCGCGCGTGGTTTACGTCGACACCTACTTGCCTCCTGTGAGTTGATGCGGGAGTTTGTTTTGCGCTAGGAGGGTTTGTGAGATGCTGCTGCTGTGCCTGCTGGGTTATTATCCGCACTGCGTCAGTGTAATAACCCCCTTCCTTTCCCCGCACGCACAGGCAAAGCATTGCTGACGCTGACTCACACTCGATGCCCCACTCGATGCCCCCCCTCCCTCTCGCTTCTCCTCTCTGTTACCTCAGGAGCTCAATGCGGACGGGTGGAGCACGTGGGGAGGGGACACGCGCGGCAGCTGTGTGTACTATGCAGAGAAGGGCAGCACGGGGCCGGGCGCTCGCACCTCGCGAGCATCATGGGTGCACCCTGGAATAATCTCGGACGCTTCTCAGTTTGACCCAGAGCCGTTTGTTGATCTGAGCACCTGGCTCGATGTTGCGGGGAAGAACCCCAAGTGGTGAGCTGATACAGATACGTAGTTTAGGAGGCTGTAGGGACGGGTGGGGAGTTTTAGTATTGTAGGTTTTTTGCCAGCGGATGTTTTTGGAAATAAGTATTGTGTCATGTATGTATGTATGTTGTGACGATGATGATAAGGCACACAAACACACCAGTGCAGATGAAGGGGGTTAGGTTACGATGTGAGCATGGCCTTTCCTAGAGTTTACCCAATGACACCCAATCATCTGGTTTCTGGTTTGCACATGTCGCTCAGTAAGCACCTTTGTTCCATTAAACGTCTTTGCATAGAAGCTTGCCTCATAGAACTTCCACGCATCAACTATGCTTTCATAGGTTAGAGTCAGGATTCCGAGGCTCAAACCATGAGTATCGAGGTTCCAAAACACCTTCAGTACTTGCACAGGTTTGAATGAAGAGTAATATGGCAATGTTACAGAAAATTGTGTCGTCTTTTTGTTAAGCGTTT